CCTCCCCCCTGCCCTTCCACCACAACAGACTTACCACCTGGAGGCAGCTGCATTGGATATCGGATTGGTATAGGCCATGCCTCCTTATATATTGGCTATTGGTATTGGTCCCTAGTATCTCTGTTGGTGCACCCCTAGTTCACAGCTTTTCTTTCTTGCCCCACAACTGGCAAGAATTTATAGATAAGGTCTTCTGTGTAGCTTTTGTATTGGAAGAAGAACCTATTGATAGGAACAGATATTTTGGGGGCTTTATTTACAAAGATTCCAACATCTGTTTTCCTGAACAGAGTAAGATCTAAAGAAAAGGAATCCCTGGCTTGTTCATCACTTGAAGCCTTCTTTCCAGCTAGTACACTTCCCAAGAAGCAATTTCTTGGCTTCTTTTGAAGCCAGACAAGAAGTACTTCTCTCACTCTGGTAGCTTTCTGTTGATTTATGACTCTTCTGAGTCTCTGGCCATGTCTACATGAGATGCTGACTGCACAGAATCATCATGATACTAATGCACAATAGTAATGAGCTCCTGTGCAGTTAGTATCACCTACAAGCCATTTGGCAACACAACTGTTCGGTAACTCTGGTTACTGTGCAGTCAGTGTCTTGTGTAGACATGGCTAGTAGTTCCAATTAATCCCTGGCCAGGGGATTTATCAGTCCCCAGAAAATATCCTCAGCCAATATGGCCCCAGATTCTCATCATGAACTTCCACTAGCCTGGAGTTCCGGTTTTCCCTTGAGTCACTTGCTCAAAACCATCCAATCCCCAGCTTAGTAATAAAATAAAAAATCTCTCAATGAGGACAGACCGTCTTTATTTCACACCATTCTCGTTTTCTCTTGTTTAGCACTAAAGATGCTTTATAAAAATTGATGTTCTTCACAGCTAGGATGGCTTATAGTATTGCGGGAATTCTCACAGCAGACCTGTAGCGTACTCTGAAAAACAACACCTACATTATGTCATTTTGGGAATTCATGGGTTCACGTGGGCTAGCTAGATGCAAATGGTAGGGAACAGTGTTAAAGCCTCTGATATAATTATACATTACTTTCCAAGGCTGGGAGTCGCACCACAAACTTTATTTCAGAGGAAAAATATTTGTTTTTAATATTAAAATGGCTAAGCTGCTCACTTACAGCGGTAAGCATAAATTTACTTTTCATAGAGTGTACTACTATTTCTATTTCAATGCTAGTTGATATCAATCAGTATGTTGCTTTGTAGTTGTCTTGAAAACAACGTTCCATTTCTTTGAGATATCTATTGAGAGCATATTAATTTGAAAAATTAATCTTCATAAACCCTTTTTCTCTTCTTTGTTTTACACCTAACAGGGACTTCAGGATGAATAAAAAGAAGCATCTATCAGATAACTTTTAACCTAGCCCTGAAGATCAAAACCCACTGACAAGTTATTTATAATGTTAGTTCATTAGGTCTTTTTCAGTTATCTTAACACAATTCTCTGTCTAAACTGATGCAGTCACTTCTGTTTATTTGTCACCAAAACGTATCTTATCAAAGCTAATGTTAAAGAAAACATAAAAGAGCTCACAAGGGCTTTTCCAATACATTTAAACTTAAATAAAAACATAGTCTTTCTGAGTATTGGGAAAGATAATTTAAAGACAAACTGCCCACTTTTCTACTTCCTCCCAGGATGTTGGACAAGAAAAAACACAATTTCCCATTGAGATTAGAACAGGAATCACTGGATGTCTTACTAGAAGTTTCAGCTTTTTGAAGACTTACACCTTACTTTCCATACCATAATGTTTGGATGTCTGAAGATGAGGATCTGGGCCTTTTGAAATTTGGCAGATATCATTAGCAACTGATCAGTTACTTCCCCCCCCCCAGTCATTTTAGTTTAGGAAGCCTAAAAAGCAAGTTCTCTAGCAAAATTCTATAGAAAAGTTGAGACCAGATGAGCTCCTGATGATAAGTAGTGGAGCAGGGAGACATATGCATTTGGCATTATGTAAATGAATTGACTGCATGTTGCTATTTACCACTGCAGGTAGTAGAATGGAAATTAAAGCAGTTCTGGTTGCAGATGAATTGATTAGGATCCTCAGAATTTAGAATTAAAAGTAACAAAGAGAAAGTTAATCCTGTTGGTATGCAATGCCAGGAAAGGTCTATGCTCTTTAATTGCATCAAAAAAACAAAAACAAACCCACACCTACTCTAAGACCATGATCAGTATATATCTGTTCTACCCAAAATTGTGTGAAGGCCTAAAGATTTCACATTACTGAAAGCCTGCCTGTAGCAGGAATCCAGACTGCATTGTTCATAATAAGATCATAGGAGGATGGACCTGTGCCATGGGTTTCTTGTATGCCATAGGCCTGGTCACTTAGGCCTCCTGCAGCTGTTTCCTATCAGGATGCTAGTCTTTCCCTGTGCTGGTGGTTACTATCTTGGCCTAAGAGAGTTAAAAGATCAACTAAAAGGCTCCAGGTTAGAAACTGAAGTTTACAACTTCATTCATGTGCCACAGTAGAATATTTTCACTGCAGGGTAAGGCCTTTCTGTGCAGTAGACAGAGGTTTCCTGTGTCTAGCCCAGTGTGGAATCAAACCCTAGAGGACCAAAGCAGAAACTCCAAACTCATCACATCCAAACAAAGTGCTACATGCATTCCTTTTACCTGGACCACCATTCACTAAGGAGTTGTGAGAAGGGATTTCCAGGGACAAAAGTTATGGAAAAATGATAGTTGCAAAAAAGGATTGGATAGATGGTGAAACTCAGTAGTGAGTCAGGAATTAGCAAATGATAAACATGAGGAATAAATGGTAAATGAGTAAATAAATGCATTTCAAATTGGAATCAGGGATGTTGGTTGTAGCTGTGTTGGTCTGAGTACATAGGAAGACAAGGTTTTTTGGATGAACTGGATGTCTTTTTATTAGACCAACTAAAATTGTTGGAAAAATTCTTCTTTGCAAGCTTCCAGGTACAAAAGGAAGAAAGGTGTTTGTACCCAAAAACCAGCAAAGAAGAATTTGTCCAACTATTTTAGTTGGTTTAATAGAAGATACCAGATTTATCTGAAAAACCTTGCCTTCCTCAAGTTGGCATCAGCATTAGATCAGTGTAATTACTGCTACTGAATGTGCTATATTAAAAAGTGTGTGCCACTGTGTGCGTGCATGATTGCTACTTTATTTTGATGTTAATGAGAACAGCCTATCTACATTCTGTTTGGAAACACCCTTCAGGTCCTTGAAGGATACTATTAAATCCCTCCGTAGTCTTCTCTTTGTCCAGATTAAATAAGCCCAGCTCCTTCAGCCTCTTCTCGGAAGTCGTGCCTTAGCCCACTAACCCTTCATTTGTCTACATCCTTTCTATAGTCACAGCTGAGAGCTAACTAGATGCAGTAGATTAGTTTCCTTCAGCCAACCCACTGTTTTGTTTTTTTAGACAAAAAAAAAAAAAGGGGAAACCCCCAAAACCCTACAGTGTTGACTCTTTCACAGCCACTGCTGAACTTAGTACCTGTGAGATGGTTAAAACTGAATTCAATGACTTCTGCCTGCTAGTCTGGGGAGAAGCAGCTGCTGTTACAGCACAAGATTTCCATTTTCTATTTTTGAAAAAAAAAACAAAACAAAAAACTCAAAAACCCAGCTTCCTAATTGAACATACACTCTGCAATTTTTGGAGGGTTGATTTTTGGGGAAAGGTACATATGTTCTCTAAGTAAATAAAGTAATTCTTTTAAGTTTTTTTTCCAAAACAAATAATCAGCAGTCATTAAACATCCCGTCCGCAATAGAAGTACTTATACCTGACCTATAAAATGCTGTTTTCCTTATCAAAACTCATGAGATTTCATTTGGTCCAATCCTCCAATTTGTCTGTGTCTTTCTGAACACTAGCCCTACACTACCATATCCATTATTCCCCCTAGCTTGCTGTTATCTGAAAACTTGCTGAAGCATCCCATCTTCAAGGTCACTGATAAAGATACTGAACAAAACTGACTCCAGGATGGATCCTTGGGGCACTTAGCTGGTTATCTATAAAAACTAGTTATGCTGAAGCTAATGTTTACAGTACGAGAACTGATTTATTCAGTGATGTTTTATGTTAAAGTTTAATCTCCGGCTGTCCAAATTCTAGTGTTTGGCGGGAGAGAAGCGTGATCACATCCTGTGTGGGCTGTATCAGCAAGGCCACAAACTGCACTGACACAATAGTGTGAGCTGTGAGAGCCCCTCCCAACCATTGCACTGTGTTTGTGGGCAGGCAGCCCCCTCCTACCACAATACCAGGCTTCCCACTACTATGACACAATTGGCTTTGGCTCAGAGTTGTTTGAGGTTAAACAGTTTATCATCCATTCAGTAGTTTAGCTCCACTCCAGCTGGAAGCTTGTTGGCAATTAGTAGGGCTGTGCAAAGCTTTGGTCCCTGATTCGATTCAGCAGAGATTTGGCCCAGTTCAGTGGCTGAATTTTCAAATCTGAATTGAATCAGAGGACCCTCTCTCCGGATTGAATTAGAACCCTCCAAATCAATTCAGAGAGATTTGGAGATTTAAAGCTGTGTCTACATCTGAACGTTTTTCTACATACCTCTAGGCAGCAGGGGCTTGTGAATGCTGTGATGCTGAGGCACGTGGAGTGTCCCACAGGAGCTCAGGGTGCTCCCTAGTGTGCTTGACAGCAGCCCTGAAAGTGGACCAGAAGCACTTCTGGTCCATTTCTGGATCTGCTGGGTAGTGTGCTTGCCACCCCCTGCCCCGTGTCCTCCTGGCTCGGTAACTGGTGCCTCCTGGGTCTTGGGGGGAGCACTCAGAGTCACCCCGTGGCCAGTCACTGAGCTGGAGAGGCACGGGGGGGCCCCCAGCATGCTCCCCGGCACACCTGGAAGTTGATCGGAAGTACTTCCAGTCCGCTCCCAGGTTTGCCGCTGAGCACATGGAGGGCCCCCCCAGTGCTCCTGTGGGACTCTCGGTGTGCCCCAGCATCACCGCCATCATGCTACCTCAAGGTATGTAGAAATAACTTTTAAAGCTGTGTCTGTGTCCAAATCACTGATTCTCCAAATCAGCATCAGATCTTCAGATTTGGATTCAGCCAAATTGAATCAGGGACAGGGATCCAAATCAATTAATTGAATCTCTGTCCCTGATTCAGGGCAAATCCAAATCAAATGAGGCCCACTTCGCACACCCCTAGTGATTAGATCCCAGCAAGGCATATTGAAAGAGTACTGGAGTAATGATGCAGCCTTCCTTAACTCCCATCCTAACCTCAAAGGGCACTGTGATAGATCCGTTACTGAGAACCACTGTTCAGATACCATCATGGAGCAGGGAAAAAATGGGGACAAATTTTGGTGGGCATCCATACATCAGAAGTATCCTTCAAACACTTCTTGGCTGACAAAGTCAAAAGCTTTCAAGAGATGGAAAAAAAGGCCATGTCCCGAGGCTTATGTTGTTCCTAGCATTTCTCCTGCATCTGTGAAGATCATGTCAGTTGTGCCTCTTGATGCCCTAAATCCACACTGAGCTTCTGGGAGGAACTCTTCAGCAAGTGGAAGCAGGCAGTTCATCAGGATTCTCACAAGGATCTTTCCTGCGGTGAATAGCAAGACAATCCCTCTGTAATTTTAACTATTACACTTGTCTCCTTTCTTGAAGATTGTTACAAACATGGCGTTTCTGAGATCATCTGGGATTTCTTCATTATTCCAGATCCTTAAGATGAGGGTATGAAACCATGCTGTGACCTCCTTTTCCCCCTGCTTGAAGATCTCTGCAGGGATTCCATAAGCTCCAGATGCCTTGTTAGTTTTCATCTGCTTTCCTCACCTCGTCAAGGGCTGGAGGGAGTCTGAGATCATCTCTGACTGGGTCTTGCAGGATGGAGGTGAGAACAATCTTGTCAACAATAGAGTTTCAACTGAGAAGGTCTTCAAAATTATCCTTCCAGCAGGCATTGATGGCTCTCCTTTCCTTGACCAGGTCTGCTCCATCCTTACATTTTAAGGGGGCTGGTGTCTGATCTCTCAGAGCATAGATGGCTTTGGTGGCACTGCATATCGTAGATGTCAGTGAGATGTTGAATCTCCTTAGCCTTATCTTCCCACCATTTGTTCTTCTTTTTGTGGGTCCTCCTCCTTTGGACCCCTGACAGTCAATCTTATTAAAGCATCTGCAGCATCACGTGAATTCAGCGCACTTCAAATGCACTTTAGTTAAGGTGCCCCTGATGCCACCTGAATAGACATGAAATGGAGGGTGCTAAAGTGCGCTAATAAACACAATCCAGAAGACTTGATTTATCAGGTCTGCTCTGAAGCGTGCTAATTAGCAGGAGTCAGAGCAGATGTCTAACATGTATACGTGTAGTGAGTAGATGAATAATAAATGAAGCTGGAGACTACTCCGACAACCAACCTTGGATTGATTGCAGCCAACAGGGTAGAGACTTATTCCAATGTCTACCTGGCTGCTCATAACAAAGGAGCCCATGGTTTTAATTATAATTTCCCTGAGGTGCTCATATATGGTGAAAGATAATGTGCATGCCAGCATCACATAGTATCTGGGCTTCTCTCTGTTCTTCAGTTGTTTGTTTGATACAGCCCAGTTATATACCTTGTGTCTATCAACCGACAACTATGTCCTTCCTCAGAATTTCTCAAAGGAAGGAATTTTTTATTCCTTTTCCACTGGCCTCAAGCATCATCATATCACCTTGCAGTATTTCTTCCCCCATTGACTGCTCATACCCTAGTATTTATCTTCCAGTTTTCAGTTCATTATAGTGCTTAGTACAGCTCTGATACCAGGGCTGTCCTCTCCTATCCTGCAGAACCTGAGGCTGCAGGGGGCCCCACAACCGTGGGGCCATACCCCACTTGCCCCCCACCACATGTGCCATGTTTAAAGGGCTTGATGCAGACAGGGAGCCCCTTCCTGGCCGAACAGGGGAGGAGTTCCCAGCCTTGGCCTTGGCCCCGGCCCTAGCCCCAGGGTGAGAACCCAGGAGTTCCCAAAACATGCAGCCCCTACCATCCTTGCCCTGACTATTTATTTCAGTGAATTTATACCACTATTAACTGCAATTTAGATTTTTTTGATGGATCAGGGGCCCAAAACTATTTCTTGCAGAGGGCTGCCAAAAATTATGTGATGACACTGTCTGATACAGGGAGTTCTTGTTCATGAAACCTTCTGCATCTCTGATTCAGTTAATCTATATGACGTATATGTAACCCACCTTCTTCACTTCACTTGACTCCAGATTAACATGGTTTACTATTCTCAGTGCTTAACAAGTTTATTTCAAACTTTCTTCAACATTCACCAAGTTCTCATTGTGGCCACTAGATGGCCCCAAGGCTCCTGCTAAACTACCTTCCTTGGTATCTCACTTGAATCTTGAGAAATGAACAGGCTGGAACTACAACATAATCCCCCCCTCACCCCCTTCATCCCACAAGTAACACCATCATGGACACATTTTTTCATTAGAGTATAGGAACAGATTTATGCATTGTTTTTATACTAGAAGGGGATATTGATGATGTGTACAGGTACTTTGAATGTTTATTTAAAAAGTCTGGTTAACACGATCTGTTTTCTTGAATAGACTATGGTCAAAAGTAAAGAAGCCTTGCTTTAACAATGATTTGAAACCCAGATTTCCAGCCAGTCTGAGTCCTATAATGTTCTGCTGGCATCTTCTCAGAGCCACATTAAAAGTGCTTCTCTCCCATTTTCTGGCTTTCCTACTGATGTGTGATGACTTCTGCATTTCAGTAATACCAATTAATCCCCAGACAGGGCATTTTTCTGTCCTCAGATAATCTCCTGAGCAAACAGGACCCCAGCTTCTCACCATACCCTGCATACTCTCTAGCCTAGGGGCATGTGTAGACAAAGCAACATTTGCCATTTATACCAATGCAACTGTGTTTGTGTTTGCATGACTTGGGATTTCCCACCGCTCCAAAAGTCCATTTACTGACTTGAACTAACACTATTTGGAGGTGTGTTATTTAGCAGTGCTCCCCAGTTACGACACCACATCTATGGATTTTTTTGTGTAAACAGTCAGAGACTCCACAGACTTCAAAGCAATCCCCTTCGCCATGAGGTGGCACTGTGTTCCAGCCTTTAGCCAGTAGGTGCCGCTGCATTTTTTGGGGGTTTTTTTTACCCTCTTTCACTCCTTACCCCATGGGCGACTGGTGCTACCTTAGTCGGGGGGTGGGGGCATGTGCTCCCCCCTGCAACCGGTCTTGGAGCGGGTGTTCCCATGCGGGTGTTCCTGCGGTCCTACGTGCCATCACTGCCTCACCCCTCCCTCCTATCTCACAGCACACAGTGGAGTGGCCACAGGTTAGGGTTGGGTCTGCTCAGCAAATTATTATTTTTATTTTTGTTTTAACAAAAAGAAATAGGGGAGGAAGCCAATATTCCCTTAATTCACTACCCCCTCTTAATTCTTCCAACCCCCCCCACCCTTCACCTGTGTCCCCTGCATCCCTTGTCATGTGCTGCCACTGCAGTGGACATAGCTCCTGATGACAGCTGCAGCATCACCATAATAGTAAGTTTTTTGCAATTGGTATGAAACTTTGGAGTGAGTGGTTACATGACTCCCTTGAATATTGCAAACCTTCTGAACTTCCTCCCATTCTATTTCCGAACCATGACCAAAAGTCCAGGGGCAGGACGCTGCCTGCCAGACCCAACACCCAGGATATGCAGGATTCCAGGTGATATTTAGGTAATATGTCCCACTGACGTGTTGTGTGTGTGTGTGTGTGTGTGTGTGTGTGTGTGTGTGTGTGTGTGTGTGTGCGCGCGCGCGCGCGCGCGCGCGCGCGCACAGGGGGGAGTCCATTTTTTGACTGTGCCCCAAAACCCCCTCCTCTTCCACTTCTTCCTCTTTCCCTCTCCCTGCAGAAAGCATTTGCAGGCAGAACTCGCTGGGGGTGGCAACCAGTAAAAGTAAAAAACAAAGAGACTGAAAGCAAGACCTATATTGTGCAGATTTGCAGTTTTGGGGTTTTTTTTTTAACAAAATATTTTGTATATATTTTATATTGTAAAGGTGCTGGGGAGGAAGATCCCCTTTTTTGAATAAAGTGTTTTATTTTTGCTCTCTATATGTGCCATGTTTTCTTTGGGGTGGGTGGTTTTTGGAGACTGAGCCTGCCTCAGCATGGGGATGCTGTGCATGTGGGGTTTTATGAAGTCATGGCATTACTGGAAAGAGTTGCAAAGAGTTACAGAGTGGACTGTTTTCAAAGGGAGGTTAAATGCTTGTTAAGTGCTAGGGTGCAGCCAGAATTTCTGATAAGAAAAAAGTCTAAACAACCAACCCACGCCCACCAGTAAGCAGGCAATCTGCAAAACTTCTCCATGCATGGACCTCCCAGAGCCTTTAGCCTTAAGCAAGTCTTTAAAGATTTTACCAAGTCTTTAAAGCATCATAACGCATTTCATATGCATGGTCCCCCAAATGTGTGTGTTGGGGCAGAGCCGGAGGGGTTGTGGTTAATGCCTGCTGCTGCAGCTCCAGAGCAGCTTCTTTTTTTTCTGACCCCCTGGCAGTTTTTTGTTTGCAGGCTGTACTGTTATGGGAGGTGCAATGCAAGTGTGATTTTTTTTTTCCAATCCATTCTTTGCAATGCAATATTTTCTTGACAAAATCCTGCATGCCGCACCTTTTTGAACTGGGTTTTCAGGCCACCCCTGCCCTCCCCCTGGCTGGCTGCAATCCGCTCCCCCCTTGGAGAGAACTCATTAGATTTTGGTCAGGATTGATTTGTCCTCAAAGGACACGGAGAAGGTGAGAGGGAAATGAGGAGCAGCACTCCCAAAGCAGCCCAGGGTAATTTGTTCAGCTACCTATAGGCCTCTGCAGAATATTCAAATAAAGTATCCTTGTGGGAGAAGTTCTTTTCGTCCAAATTCAAGACATTTCTCTGCATTGCGAGTCAGAATGCTGAATAATTCCTGCCAGGAG